AGATGAGCCCCACCCATCTTCCTCCATTTTTTTTTTTTTTTTTTTTTTTTTTTTTATTCCACAAGCCAAGGAATCAATAAGTAATTTGTAGAGCGGGAAGCAGAGGAAGAACTAAGGGGAGTGGATGCAAATAAGGTAGTTTGTGCTTTTCCCACTTTTGCCAAACAAGCATTATCTACAAAAACAGGTGCACTTTCTCCCCTTCAGCCTCCTATCCATTAAAGTGGTTTAATTACTTCCTGATCACTAGACAGTTAGATAATTAGAAGGCATCATTCAGACCAAAAATTTAAGCCACCCTCTTCAATCAGGGTAAAATTGTGTGATCAAGAAGCTAATTAAGAATCAAGTGTATGGCTCTTATTGGAAAGAGTTAGTTTGGGGCTTCAAAAGATTCTGCTTCTCTCTCCCTGAGGCCCCTATCTCCTCCATCATCACCAAGGCTTCATTAAACTCCTGTTACTGTGTTGACTGCCCAGGCCTCAACCATTCCTGGACTCAGTCCTCGAGGGGCTTACCGCACAGGGAAAAGAGCTTGTGGAACTAATCAACATATGAATGAAGCAGTGCCACAGGACTCATATACACAAGGTTGAAGGAAGTGATGAGGGTCGGTACACTAGGAGAGAGTGATGAGACAAGGGGCAGAGAGGAGGTCTCCTTGTCTAGAATCAGGCCACAAATAGGGATCCATAGATGGTCTTCAGAAGATATATGAATCCTAAATTCTTATGTCTGGTTTGTGTTCCAGGGAGATGGTCCTTAGCCTTCATCAGATCCTCAAAGGGGCATGTGACCCAAAAGATTAGGAACAACTGGGTCACAGGGAGATGGTCTCTCCAACAAACTTTTGAAAACATGTGGCCAGAGTGCAATCTCAGGAACTATTGTCATACTAGAAGAAGGAGCGGTGGTGGGTGGCTATCTTGTCTCCTAGAATCACAGTGTGTTCAAGGTTGGAGGAGCACTGAGAGGTTTCCATCTGGTCTCTTTGCTTGACATTGAGGATGCTGGAGTGACTCATCACTGTTTGCTCCTGTGAGTCAGCTCTTCCCTCCAGAGGCCAGGCCAGCAGCCATCCCTACACTGACTGTTGCTGCAGGGTGAATCCCGAGTCATCTCACTCCCCATCACAGGGCCCAGCTTCCTGCACCACTCTCACAATATGGACAATCATCACTTTCCTATTCTGCCCATCCCTTAGCTGGCTTCATCTTCCCAGCCCTTCCTCTGGATGTCATGGCCTGTCACCAGCAACTTCTCTGAGTGTTCCTTTCATGGAAACAGCTTCTTCTGAGGACACTGTTTCTTGCTTTCTCAAGTGGTAGCTGCTTTTTTCCCCATATGCTGTATTATACGGGGAGTGGAGGTGAGGTCCGCATCCTTCTTGTTCTCCATCACCCCTTCCAAACCACCTCTCTTCCTTTATCCTTCAGAAGCCCCAGCCCCTTTGAAGTGCATATCATCATATTTGATTGTCCTTTTCCCCTTGTTGATGCTGTTGGCTGTTGGCTGCCTACTCACTCCTCCCATTCCTGGGTGCAGCTGGTTCATGCACTCCCTCCCACTATTCTTGTCTTCAGCATCTCTATGATCAGTGCCTCTCAGTGGAGGTGGTACCATCGCCTAGGGGGGCATTTCAGAAATGTTTGAGGTTTTTGTTTGTTTTCTAATGTAGTTGTGCCCTAGAATTTATGCTGAAACTTATATTGTCTGGTCTAAATGACCTCTCCTTTGTTCTTTTTTACATTATTTGTCAGTGCATTATATTAATTTATTTTTAAAAAAGAAATCATAGTAGCTTATATTACCTTATGAATTTCACTTCAGGATAGGAAAGGGAATATTAAACTATACCTATTATAAAAAGGGGACATTTGTCCTAATAGCACTGAGGATGGCTGATACAGATAACCTGTCCAACTCTTTGGCTATCTCTTTACTCCACAAGCCTTTTCCTCTAGCCCACCTCAGCCTCTGCTCAAGTGGACATTCCCTAGACCTCATCATCACCAAGAACAATACCACTTCCAAAATCTGGATTTAAACATCCCGCTCTGCCCATCACTCCACACCCCTATCCTTGTAGCTCACTGACTCTAGCAATTCTATAACTTCAAAGAGAACTCTTGGCATTGACCCTATTACTTTCCATTTTTCCTTTTTTCATTATTCTTTATCACTTTTGTGTATCCCTTTCCTCCTCTCCAGCTCAGACTCCATGGGTCAGTTTAATAATCCCTCCCTTGCCAACATCCGTAAATCTTATGTCTTCTCTTACTTGTCTTTCTTTCACAGAAAAAGTCTACACTAATGAAACCCAACTTTCTTATTCCATAGGTGCACCTAGCCAGCAGTTGAAGTTATGGAGAAAAACTATACAACTCACCTCAAATTTGTGGCCACAAACCTCAAATGGTTGCTGAGCACTGTCAGACAATTCTACCATATCTCCTTTGTAAATTCAGTCTCCCACTTTTCTAAGATAATCATTTCCCCCTTTTTCTTCTCCCCAATAATCTTCAACACTTCCTCCTGTATCCCTTCCATCTTAACTGATGAATCATAGAAGAAAAAGACACTTGGATGAGAACTACTTGATTTTCTATCAACCTCCTTCCACCTGTGCCCACCAAGGCAGTGGTCACCCCTCATTCCACATGAGCTGTTTTCTCAACGGAATTTAAGAGTTAGCACACTCTTTTTTATTGAAATGTGTCCTTCTCTAGATTTCTGGGTCTTTACACTTGCTAGTCTTGCTTCTATGCCATTTATTGCTCATTCAGGACCTCCTTTGCTGGCTCTAACTCCGCCAAAATTCTATATATCAAAAGGCCCAGGAATCTGTCATTGTCCCTCTTTTCTAATCTGTCTGCCTTCCTGGGCCATTCCTGAGACTTCAGATTCTACCTCTACACTGATGACTTCTACCTCCAGGCCAGACCTCTCTCTAACTTTCAGACTCATATGTTCAACTGTATACCTGGCCCTTCCAGTGACATTTCTAACAGACATCTTAAATTTACCATAATCAAAATATAACTATTAATCACTGTGGTAGGCTGAATAATGACCCCCCAAAGATCCAGGTCCTAATCCTTGGAGCCTGTTAATGTTACCTTTTATGGCAAAAGGGACTTGCAGACATGACTAATTTAAGACTCTTGAAATGAGGAGGGTATTCTGGGTCATCTGGGTGGACTTGTAATCACGAGGTTCTTATAAGAGAGATGCAGAAAGAGACAATGACAGAAGGGTAGGAGATGTGACATTGGAACAAAGAGGTGGAGTGATGTAGGAAAGAGACAGGGAATGCAGGTGTCTTCTAGAAGCTTAAAGGCAAGAAGATGGATTCTCCTCTCAAAGCCACCAGAAAGAACCAGCCCTCTGATACGTTCACTATAGACTTCTGTCTCCAGAACTATAAGAGAACACTTGTGTGTTTTAAGCCACTGAGTGTGTGGTCATTTGTTACAACAACAGTAGGAAACTAATATAGTCATGGCCACCACCACATAAATCCTCCCCCCCCTGCCCTCATGCTATCCACATCTCAGTAAACGGCACACCACTAGTGTATTGTTGGCCAAAAGCTCCTGGGCTGTCCAGATTTTTCACTTGACTCACAACTTATCTGTCAGCAAGCCTGTGAGCTCTGCCTCTACATACGTCCTGACCACACAATTTTTCATGCAACCTACTGCTATAACCCTGATAGAGACCACCATCCGTTCCTGCTTGAATCACTACATCACTTCCTGCTTGGTCGCCTGCTCCTACTGTTCTCCCTCATCAGTTTATTGTTTCACAGGAGCCAGAATGAACTTTCTGCAGGGTAAACTAGATCACATCACCCCTCACCCCTCCCTTAAAACCCTTCAGTGGCTTCCCATTATACTCAGGACAAAACAGAAATCCCTTGCCATGGCTTATGAGGCCTCATCATATTGTGCCCCTCTGTGCCCCCTTATCTCCTTGTACTTCCCGCTCATCACTGCACCCTGGCCACGTTGACCTTCTTTCTGATGCACGTGCATTCCATTCCCACCTCCTGGCCTTTGCACTAGCAGTTCCTACCACCAACATGCTCGCTCTCCAGATCTTTGCATGGTCCCCCTCTTCTCATCATTTATGTCTCAATGTAAATACCACCTCCTTATTCACCATCCTTTCGATAAAGCAGGACCCTCAGTATCTGCAGCCAGTGGCTATTTAACCCTATTTCATCTTCCTCATAGCATTTGCCATCACCTGAAATAGTCTTATCAGTTTGGTTGTGTGCCTGCTATTGTCTCTCTGCTAGAATATAAGCTCTTGGAGGGCAGGACTCTGCCTGTCCTGCTCACTGCACTACACCTAGTGCTTGGCACATAGTAGGCACATAATATTTATCTTCCGGTTGTCTGGTATGGCTTCTTTCTGACTCTACACTGCTTCTGGCCAGTAGAACTGTATCAAAGCTCTCCTTCCAGGGGTGTGTTTCAAGAGAATTCGACTATTTGTTAAATAGCGAAGAGTTAACCAATGTAATTCCAGACATCATCTAGCAGGTATGGAATGACCCTTGGTATCTTTCATGGTGCCTTTGAAAGCACATGGTTCATTCAACATCTGCTCAATGCCTGGTGCCATGGCTACATGGTAGAGGGAGGAAAATATATTTATATTATGCCTCAACAGATGATGATTTGGGGTTTTGTCAAGCCAAGAAGTGGGAGGGGTGGAGGAGAGGTGGGCAAACGCGTTGCATGTAGGCACTGGACCATTTCCTGAACTTGTGTGGTAGCCTTCCACCTTCTATTTCTGAAGACTCGTGAAGCCTAGGCATACAGGGGCTCAGATCTGAAAGGGAGGTTTGAAAAGAACAAATCAAACCGATACAAATCCAGCTTGCCCCAATGTGTACATCTGTGTGTAAGCATAGGGAGACCATTTTTCGTCACAGCAGTGACGTCCTGTCTCTCTCTTGTCCTTTTCTCTCTCCCTCCCTGACCTTCCAGGTCTCATCGTGCACGAGGGACCCTCTGTGTACCGCATCTTTAAACGGTGGCAGGCTGTCAACCAGCAGTGGAAAGTGCTGAACTATGACAGGACGAAAGACCTGGAAGATCAAAAGTCAGGAGGCAGGACAAACCCCCGGACCTCCTCATCCACCCAGGCCGATGTCCCCTCCTCCGAAGAGGAGGCTGTGGGTGCCCCTGGCCCTGAGGAAGGCCCTGCCAGGGCGGCCAACCACCCCTCAGGCCCTCTGTCCGATCACCACTGTGCTTACACCATCCTGCACATCTTGAGTCACTTACGACCTCATGAACAGCGGGGCCCCCAGGGCGGGAGCCGGGAGCTTGTCATGAGGGTCACGACAGTGTGAGGGGAGAGACCTGGAAAGGAGGCCGTGACCATGCACAGAGATGGGGAGGCTGGGCCAGGAAGGGGCCAAGGCCACAGTCTGGGGAGCAGGTGTGGGGAGGCAAAGTGGCATCCCAGGGGCCGGAGCAGAGGGCAGGCAGAAGGCGGTGGGCCTCGTGGGGGCCCTGGAGGCAGGGTCAGAGCTGGAGTGAGTGAGTCGGGTGTCCAGGGCGCTTTTCGTGATTCTAATCGGTCAACCCCCATCCTCCAACAAGAGCAAGAAGAACCAGTACAAACTCAACAAGGAAGCGCAATACAGCTTGAACGTAACAAAACACAAGGACAAAAATCCCAGATGTGCCCATCCACCTGGGATTACTGCCCTCGGGTGAGGGCACCTGGGAGAAAAGGAGGCTTGGGAAGGGCGACGGTGAGGTGGCGGCGGTGGCGTCCCTGTGTGCGCAAGTGGTGGGAGAAAAAATGCAAAGGGGCAAAGAGTGTGCAAAGGAAAAGCACTGTAGCCTGCCTTGTTTTCCCCTTGAGTTTGTTTGTTTCTCCCTGGGCTGTTTTTGGGGCAGTGGTGGGGAGGGAGAGGGATGGGTGTGGGCTGGCAAGGATGACAGATGGCATTTGTGGCTCCTGGGCTCATCTGGGTGGGCAGGATTCCTGACTCAGATGGCTTTAGGGGCTCTGGGGCAAGGTGCAGGGAGGGAGATGTTGGTGTGAGCCCCCAGAGGGAGGGAGATTTCGGCTTCCTTCCAAACCGGGAACTCCCAGTTTCAGATGGGCTCAAAGAGGGTTTAGGTTTGGAGATGGGTGTCTTTTTGTGCCCTTGTTACTTTGTTTTCTGGTGGTTTGGCTCAAAGATGTTTACAAGAAACACACACACACACACAACTAGAGAAAAGTACAGATTTCCTGTGGGTATCTCAAGCACAGTCCTGCTGCTGTGGCTTCGACCTTCAAAGCTGTCAATCCAGGAGCGACTTTCCCAACTACCCAACCCTGCCCATGGCCAGGACATGCTCAATGTCATGCCTTCTCCTGCTTTGGCGCATGCAGAGACCCAGGGCCCCCTAGGGCAGAGCACCTCCCACCCAGGGGCCCCCCAGGATAGCTGTTGTAGCAGATGGGAAGAAATTGGCTGGATGTGTCCCAAGGAGTGGAGTGGAGACCAATCTAAGTATTCCTTGCAACTTGGGACCCTCACCCGAGGGTGTAATCCCTCAGTGCTACATACTCCCCGGTCCCTCCCATGCAGCGAGGCAGGGCCCAGGGACCCTGTCAGGGAGCACTGTCCCTCCCGTCCAGACTGCTGGTTCCTGGGGCCTTGCCAGCAAGGCCACTGCGGTGGTCACCTGCACAGTTTCTCATTGTCAATGCACAATGGCCGCGCCATCCATGGGTATTAAAGGGACACTGTCAAGTACTTTTTTAAACTAGTTTTTAGGGTTTTTTAAAACTCTCTGTTGTTTGTATTATTCTCTTAAAAGCTTGAAAATAAAATTTCTTTCCCTATCATTAGTGTCCTTTTCTATATGTGAGTTTTCCCTTCTTCTGCCCAGCTCTCCCTCTGTGGCATAATCTTGCCTTCCCTTTTCTCTCTCTCTCTCTCTCTCTCTCTCTCTCTCTCTCTCTCTCTCTTTTTTGTCTGTTCCATCCCTAGTGTCTTCTTTCTGGCTTCCTACAAGATGGATTCCGTCAAGATTAAAAAGAGGAACAACTCACAAACTCTCTTTAAATTTCTGCCCAGGACTCCTAGAAGCAGAGATCATTAGTGCTGGAAGAAATGTGGAGAAATTTTACCCCATCGGGTCATTTCAGAGAAGCTGAGAGAAACACAGGCCAAGGAATGTGTTAGGACCTCATTCCCATGAAAGTTTTCTGTCGAACATCAGAAAAAAAGCTCCCGGGGCAGGGCTCTGAGAGAGGGCTTGCATATATCACCAGGTAGCAGATAAGACCCTTCCTCCCTTCAATTTTCCCAGGCCCTTCTGACTCAGGTCAGCAACAGGCCAGGCAATGTCCTTCCTCAGTGGGAAATGCACAGGCTTAGGAAGGTTCCTCCCCTGGTGGAGCTTACAGTCCAGCAGCTCAGAAAGGAAATAATAATTGGTGAGAGGCCAAAGCCCACATACAAGGAAAACATACAAAACAAGTGAAACCAGGGTGCCTGGGTGGCTCAGTCAGTTAAGTGTCTGACTTTGGCTCAGGCCATGATCTCACAGTTCGTGAGTTTGAGCCCCATGTCGGGCTCTGGGCTGACAGCTCGGAGCCTGGAGCCTGCTTCCGATTCTGTGTCTTCTCTCTCTGCCCCTCCCCCACTCACACTCTGTCTCACTCTCTCTCAAAAATAAAAATAAAAAAATTTACAAAATTTAAAAGAAAACAAGTGAAAACTGACAAAATGGTACAAGTAAAGGTGTCTATTTTTCTACGGGTTCTAGGAATGGGCCATTCAGTTTAATTCAGTATTTATGGAAAATGTAGATGTGTTAGATTATTTCCCAAAAATACTTGAATGCAACAAAATAGGCATATAATCAAAACTATGGTGGCTGTCATATCATCCTCTTTGGGTGATTCACAGGACACTTCAGAATCTTATGGTCATTCGGGGTCATTCAGAATCTGCTGTACTGAATAAGAGGTGATGACTGAAGTTCTAATAGCATTCTGGAGTTTGTTGGGTCTTGACGATACAAGCCTCAAAAGAGCAAAAACCTTGTCTGTCTTGTTTACTGCCTCACATCCAGGACCTACAGGAGTACCTGGCACACAGTAGGTGTTTAATAAATATTCCGAATGGGTAAAACACTCTTGAAAGAGTATGGGAGTGTCTTTGGCATGCAGGAGACCAGCCTCCTACTCCGTCAGCTTAGATGGTAGCTCTCAAGGTCAGTCACAGAGCAGAAAAGAAATCTCAACTTCTGACTTCTCTACCCAATGGGGTGGTAAATTCCCTGTGCCTTGGAATTCCTTGTGTCTGTACTTATGGGTACAAAAATGAATGAATTGGGTTTTTATTTTTCATATGCATCCTTGGGGAGTGAGGAGAAGTGCACCCTGATAACCAGTGACCATTGTCCCCTTTCCAATGTGCGAACCATCCTCCATACCACGAGACAAATGTCTAGATTTCAGAGAATTCACTTGCATATCATCTGCAAGTATGGCCCCATGCATGGGACAAGATACTAGCTAATGCCTAATGTTCTCAGTATGTGACCGGCACCAAATTAACTGCTGTGTATGTATCAACATACTTAGTACTCCAGCAACTGACAAAGTAGATGCCATTATTATCTTCATTTTACAGATGTGGACACTGAGGCAATGAGGTTAAGTAACTAGGCCATGATTAGACAGAATCCAGTCCCAGGCAATCCACTTTATGCTACTCCTGCAGGACAGCTGCCACCAATTTAAGGGAAATCTGGTTCAGCCCAGTGCAGGGAGGTCATCATGGTGGAGGTATATAAAAAAAATTTGGAGGTTGGGGAAACTGGGCATAAATAAATATAAACTATTTCTGTTCCCTACCAAAAGCCAACCAACCAAACAAAACCTGATAAACCTGAGTGTAAGTAACAATCGATATTTGATGTTGTCCAGATAATATCCTGGCTGCATGGAAGCCTGTGTAATAGAAAGTTGGCCATATCTGGATGCTGGGAAATTCTGAAAGGACAATGGACATAACTCAACCACAATTTTATGGACAAAGAGCCAAAAAAAGATCACAGAGTACTCTCTTTCTAGGAAAGAAAAAAAAAAAAGTAAAAAATTATCCTATCTGGGGACTAGGCTTTTGGTTCTGGTTCCAAATGAGTGGTGCAAAGTGACAGATTGGGGGCTCTAATCATAGTCACAAAATTTAGAAGGGCCCCACAATTATGAGGCCTTGTCCCTGTCTGTCAAAAATCAAATCTGTCACTATCTTAGAGCACAGAAAATCACAGAATTTTTTAGCCTCTAGGAGATAATTTGCTGCTATTTTGATGTTTTGCCCACTGGATCCAAGGACTCCTAGCAGAGGGTAGGGGCATGGCTTGCCTACAACAATAACCAATTCCTAAGAGTGATGATGTGCTTTATAAGCAGAATTCATTATATTGTGGATGTGAGAAGCCTAGGAGGCAGGGGAGAAACACATTTTGCATTATTCCTTGTCACCTTTTCTCAATTACCCTATTCCCTAGTAAGAAGCAATCAAGGGTGATTTTACCTCTTAGGGTCCGATGCTATTATAGCAGTGATGCAATGGTCCTAAAACCTCCCCTCGCCCCATCTCCATCCACCCTTATTGGCATAATGGCACGTGGGAACTGGGAAGTGCTTGGGGAGCCATGGAAATTGGATGACACTCCAAGATGACTCTAAGTAATGTGGGTCCAGAGTGTGGGCTGCACTGGATTGGTGGCCAGCTGGTTAGCTAAGCACTGGTGGTACCACAGTGAACCACAGGTCCTTCTTCATGTGGCCTCTTCTTCCTCAGTATCTCCTATCTACTCCTCACCCAGCCCACCATGGGAATAAGAGTCCCCGGGGTGAGGGCTTTCTTCCTGTCCAAGCCCCAACCCAATGAGAACTGCAGCCCTCAGTACTCTCCCTGCCCCTGGCCACTGGTCATTGGGACAGGCCCTTCTCTTGAAATAGGTGACCTGTAATTAAGTACCAAAACACCTCCCCATCACACGCAATTTTGTCCCAAAGTATCAGTAGATAATCAGGGAAGAGGAGGAGCCATGGTCAGGGAGTTTCTGGAAGGAAAGAAAAGCACGTCCACCCTGTGCTCATGACGTCTTCATTTGAGAGGGGAAAGTCCTGAAAATACAGCTCCATCAGTGTGCTGGTCCAAGTCTGGTGCTGTGTCCACATGAGGCCCTGCTGGCAAAGAAAGGCATGGTGCCTGGGACAGTTAGCAGCATGGCACCCCCAGGGTGTTCATGCTCCTCGGGGCGGGGGGGTCCTCTCTGATGCAGAGGGAATCATCTGCTTCTGGATCTGTTAAATAAGGGA